TTAAATCTAAAATATATAATTTTAATAATATTAAACAAAAAATTATAATGGAATAATTAAATAACAGAATAGTCTACCAACTCATTTGGCACCAAAGCGCACAGAGTGAACATTAGAGTACAACTCATTTAACCCAAAATCCACTGAAGCGAGCCATAATTCAAAGTGAAATGTAAAATATTTAAGAGAGCTTAAGGTTATATAGAATTAAATATAGATTAAATTAAATTTAGCGGCAAATTCTAGAATATCACTTAAATTTAAAATAATGTTTTCTATAGCTCCCTCTCTCTCTCCCTCTCCCACTCTCTCTACCTCTGTTTACAATCGTATTCTGGCATTGCCTGCAATGCTAGTTGAGTGAAAGTGTCACTGAGATTTACATTGTTTTTATTGTTTTCTATTATGACTTATGTTATTTTATACAAAAAGAAAAGGCATAAGAAAACTCTCCCACTCCCGCGTCTCCAACAGCTTAAACAGCTCCAAGAACAATCAAATGCCAAACCAGCGCCCGTTGGGGTGGCAAAGAAATTCAAACAGAGCAAAGTCAACGTTTGTGTTGATTGTACGTGGGTGTGGGAGTCAACTGAATGTGTATGTGTGTGTGTGTGTGTCGGTGTGGGGCGTCAAACGAATTTTCCACAGAGCTCGAGTCCTGCTCCTGCTGCTCCTGCTTCTGCTGCTGCTGCTGAGCTAAGCAAACGTCGAACTTAGCTGGCGAAATGTGAGCTTTGGCAGCGAGTGTTTTTTTTTTCTTGTTTCTTGCTTTCTTTCTCTGTGCTCMCATTCAACTACCTTTTCGACTTGCGACTTGTTTGTGCAAAAGTTAAGGAAGGACATAAAGCGACTGGCATCCTGATGTCGTAAAAACTGTCGTCGCACTGGCTGTTACCGATATCGGGAACCGAACACGCCGAAATTTAATCATAAGCATACAAGCAGATTACGTCATGCGGTGATAAGCAACGAAAAACAAAACTATTTGTCGTCGACTCGCACTCCCCAACACCCTCATCTCATCCGACCATTTGAGCTCATTAGGCAATGCCCCAATGCCACGCCCAGCATAGATGGCAAGCCAAACCAGAAAAGTATCTCGGCAAGTATATAAATCCAGCACACAGAGCCAACTCTGCTCCGGTCAGAAGGATGCTCGTTTTTCTTCAAATTCAATTTGCCCAAGACTGAAGTTTAAAATAACAATGCCGTCGCCCCAGCATCTCGAGGAACAGCCTTAAAAAAGAAGAAGAAGAAAGGCAGGGCTAAGCAAAAAAAAAAGGATACATACGTAACGCAACGTAACGAGGGGCCAAATGTTCTTTGAATGTTTGATGTCTCCTCGTCGCCGTCGCCGTCGCCGTAGCCGTTGCGGCATGTAAGCTCTTGGGCAGCACATTTTTTTTGACTAACGAGCCGCATTTTGGTAATCCGTCCCTTGGGTATTTGGCATGGAAATGTTAAACCAGAAAACCAGAGTCAAAGCCAACACCATCAGACCCGTCTCGCTCATGAGTACCAAAAAGACTTTCGCAAAACGATTAAATGAGCCATTGGCCATTGCCATTGCCATTGCCATTGCCATTGCCATTGCCATGGAGCTGCCTTTGACTTTGACCCAAGGCGTCTGGTTTCCTTTGGGTTTTATTTTGTGCTTTACGCAGGGGTTTTATTTTTATTTTATTTTTTTGATACGCTCATGTTTGCGATAAGCAGCCAAAGGGAAACCGAATTAATACCAACAAAGCCTTTTACACGCACTTACTACCAACACCGCCAGCACCACCACCACCGCCACCAGCACCACCGGCTGCAGCGGGTTACATTTGTTTGATTGTAATCGATACCTTTCAATTCTCGCTAACAATGCCCCCATTTGCCAACATATGTCGTTTTTATAATTGCCAGCAGCAGAAGTTGGGCCCAGGCCTAAAACAGACAAAATTTTGGTATTTTATTTGCAATTGAATTGAGGCTTGGCTGAAGTTTGTCATCTGAATAACATTTGCTTAGAATTTGTGGAAATTTATTGGGATTGATCGAAGTATATTTGTCACTTGAGTATAGGGAATAGAAACCTTGTAATATATTGGACAGATAGCGGGAAAGAGTTAAAGTAAATAAAAATAAAAATTATTGTTGTTAAAGGAGATTTATACCTCGAGAGATTTAAGAGATGCTCACAATAGTCTTCACAATAACAAATCATAGCATTACATATATAACCATACCATATCATACCAAATCATATTGTATTAAACCATACAATATCATGTCATATCATACCATATCATACCATATAATACCAAATCATACCATATCATACTATATCATACCATATCATACTATATCATACCATATCATACAATATCATACAATATCATACCATATAATACCAAATTATACCAAATCATACCATATCATACTATATCATACAATATCATACCATATCATACCATATCATAATAACACTATATCAAACTATACCATATCATAATATGCTTAAGGAAACCATACCAAATCATACCCTACCATATCAAACCATACCATATCAAACAACAACATAATATATAATTATTACAGCATACCAACCATTACATACCGTACCAAACACTTTCATACCAAATCATACCATGCCATATCATACTATACCTTAGCATGCTAAATCATACCAAACCCAATACCAAGCTTCTCATAGCAAACATATCACACTACAACTTACCATGCCAGACCACACCATACCATACCTAAGCTATTCCATATCAAAATATTATTTCACTTAAATGTGTAAACAAAAATCTACAGAGCAGCTGTCCTGCACGACCTCTCCACCTTTAAGGGAGATCTAGTTCAAAGCATTTGTTCAACACATCTCTGCAAACCGATAATATCTCTGATAAATCGATAAAAAACCGAGCCCGGCTTATCAAACATAAAGCTCTTAAACAAATTGTGCAGTATTCATGTTTAATCCAAAGCTTTAGCTAAAAGCTTCTACGCATTAGCATGAGCTTATGTAAATCGAAAGGGTTAACCACCATTATCGAGGGTAAATCAATCTCTGCTGAGTGGACTTAATTAAGCGTCGGATATTTGAACGTATGTTTGGGAAATTGTGTTTGGGCCTTTGATGGGCGAACGTAATTTATTTAAATTCAGGTGTGTGTTTTTTTATTAAAGGTAAATAAATCATGCTCACACTGTGAAGTGGGGGCTCGCCAGAGCTCGTTGAAGTGTTGAGGGTCATGGGTTGAGTCAGGGCAAATCCTCATGTTAAGACAAGTGTCTGCCCCTCGGGCATGAGCGGGAGCAGGAGTCGGACAAGCAGCAGGCACACGGAACTGTTTTCCGGACAAACAAATGACCTGGAAAAGCCAAACGAAAGCAAACACAAAAGAAATGGGAAAAAATGGAAAAATGGAAAAATATGTGAGCAAAAGGCAAATGCTGCACAACAACTTGGCAACGGAAACAATTGCAATGACTGAGCAAATGCTTAGCATCTGTCCTGAGGCCTCTTCACACAGGAAGTGCTCCACTCCCACTGGCTGTCGGCTCCGACTGTATTTGTTGCATATTCAGTTAGTTCAGTGATTGTCGGAACTATAAATTCAGTTTGATTACGCATTCAATGCGTTTATCTGTGGCCCACAATATCCAGGCAGAACTTTTGCTCAGCCCCCGCAGGACTCGGGAATTCCTGATATAGTTTTCTTTTAAGCATTTCTGGCACTTTTGGCAGCCCGCACTTAGACAAAGGCCAAAAACACTCTAACAGCTGCCCGTACAAAAAAAAAAAGCACTTAATGCAATCTAATAGGGGCACGGAGAGGGGCAAGGGAAAGGGCGAAAAAATAGTTGGAACAGCAGTTCGCGCAGCGCAATCGAGGCCCCTGAAATGCATACCTAATTAGCTTAATGGCCTTTCGCCCATAAATTATACAAGATTAGAGTGCCAAATAAAAAAAAAGAGAATTTGCATTCACCTGACCTGGCCGGAGCCAATGGATACACCCAACCACCCCCCGCACAGCAGCAAAACTTTTCCCATAGCCATTATGTCCGCCGTAGGCAGACCCTAAAAATTATTGTCAGCCCCTGTTAACTGTAAACGAATAATGATTATAATAATTGTTGTTCGGTTCGCTGTGGTCGGCGTTCGTCCAAAATCAATAGATTGCCGCCTGGTCAAATGCCAATTAAATGGATTTTAAATGCATATGCGATGCATAAAGCGGAAATTAATTACGTAATTAATTCAATGGTCGCCCGAAGGACGCTCGTCCCCAAAAAGAAATTACCATGGAAAATACTTTGAAAAAAAAAA